CTGTTCAGAGCCTTTGGGTTCTTGCCGTCTATTTGTTCACAAACAATACAGAAATTAGCTGTGAACTGCCACCACATGGTTATACAGTAGAGCAGTAGAACTTTCTTTCTGTGTGGTGTCAACCATGATGCAGCCTCCATCAACCACTTTTCCCAGCATCACTGTTCCATATTCCAGTTTGTCCTCATTAGACCCGCATACACAACAGAGTAGGCTGTGTTTGTCTTTCTGGACAATCATTCTTCACATAACGTGATGTCCTTTGGTTCCATACTTCCTCCTGGAAATGGTAGGACATCGCTCTTTCTTGCGGCTAGAGAGCATTTCATTGTTTACATATATGATATTTTCTTCATCCATCCATCAGTCCTTCTCTGTCTCTTGCTCCACACTCTTCTCTTTGGGGTCAAACACATCCAAAGCCACCTTCCAGGCCCTACTTCCCTCCAGGCCCTACTCCCCCCAGGCCCTACTCCCCTTCAGGCATCACTCCCCTCCAGGCACCACTCCCCTGCAGGCTCTACTACCCTCCAGGCCCTAACCCCTCCAGGCCCTAACCCCTCCAAGGGCCCTATATCCCTGTAGGCCCTACTCCCCTCCAAGGGCCCTACCCTTGTCCCAGGTCCTACCCTCTTCCTAGGCCCTACTCCCCTCCCATACCTTACTCTCCCTCCAGGCCCTCCCTTCCTCCCAGGCCCTACCCCGCTTCCAGGTCCTAAATCCTACTCCCTCCAGTTCCAGTCCCAGCCTCTCCCCACACTTCCATTGACCTATGCAATACTTGCACCTCACAAGTCCCACCAGCACTTCTTACATACCATCTGAGAAACACCCACTTTCTGTGTTCATGGATTCCTCCAGTCTGTTTATCCTTGTGTCTTGAAAACCTAAGCCATCACCACCCCTACCTGCATGCTTCAACCCACTCTGTGGCTTCCAATCTTTTCTGTTCTTCCTTTGACTTCGGTTGCTTCTGATTCTCCATCTATTCTGCCAGCCCTATGTATGATCCTTGGCATATCTTGTCTAAGGTTCCTAAACCAGCCTCTAATACATTCCGGTGCCTCCAGTCAATCATACAGCCAGGCCAGCCTGTTGGCTCCCACCAGGGTGATCTTGCATCCAAGCAGGCAACCCTCTGTTTCAGAATCCTTCATCTTCCTTGATGCCTGTGAAACACACTCTCCCCAGTCCCAGCAGTTGAAACCTCCTCAAACCCATTGCCTCTGATCTTCTAGGGCCCCACCAAACCAACATCACCTCATTCTCCAAATACGCTTCACCTCTGTTGCCTAGTATGTTTCAAACTCTTAAATACAACCTCATTCAAGCGTGATCAGATTGCCTGCCTTCCATGAAGTGCCCGTCATGTGTCTCACTTGTCTGAATCCCTAAAGTGTTGTCGACCTTGGGATGCTTACAATAATTTAATTAAAACAACAACAACGGGCCCGGCGCGGTGGCGCAAGTGGTTAAAGGTCCTCGCCTTGCACGCCCAGGATCCCAGATGGGCGCCGGTTCTAATCCCGGCAGCCCCGCTTTCCTTCCAGCTCCCTGCCTGTGGCCTGGGAAAGCAGTCGAGGACGGCCCAAAGCTTTGGGACCCTGCACCCGCGTGGGAGACCCGGAGGAGGCTCCTGGCTTCGGATCGGCATAGTATCAGCCCGTTGCGCTTACTTGGGGAGTGAATCATCGGACGGAAGATCTTCCTCTCTGTCTCTCCTCTCTGTACATCCGCCTTTCCAATAAAAAAATAATAAAAATAAATCTTTAAAAAAAAACAACAACAACAACAAAATCACATGCGTGGATGGAATGGAAGAGAGTCATTGCTGGGTGCTTTTCTTTCCTTCTCTCTGTGACACTAAACAACTGAAAATACTTTTTAGAAGTGCCTGGTCTACACATTACAGAATGCCAAGGTGAGGTGAGCCGTACCAGATGTAGCCGCAGCGCCTGAACAGCACACAGGAGAACTAGGGAGGGAGGGGGCAAAGCCCGCAGGGAGCAATGTGGGTTCCCCTGCTGGACAACCACTCCCACTGGAGAGCATGAGTTGGGATGGGGACAGACCAGACCAGGCAGGGCTGCAACACCTGTAGGCCTCATGTGAGCTAGATCAGGGAAAAGAGAGACTGGGCTGACTTCTGACTGGTGTGCACAAAATTTAGAGTGGGTGAGTTTTAGTTTGGCTTTGCCACAGCATCAGCTGGCAGATGCTGGCACTGGGAGCTAATTCTGTCCAATTAAACTCCAGAACCACCTGGAGAATGCATAATCCTGAAGTTGGAGTGACCTAGGAGGGAGATAGTGGGCTCCTCCCTCTTGGGTTACCACTCCTACTAGAGAGCAGGGGAAACCAAGACAGGGGTAGGGGTGGCTAGAGAGAAAGGCACCCGCCAGTATATGTGGGCTGGATAGTAGGGCTGGTTGGGTTGAACTAGGCTTCAATGCCCATTGACATGTTTGAGAGCTAAATGGGATGTGGGACAGACTGAACAAGTCTATAGTATATACTGGAAATGCATGGGAACCAGGGTTGGGGGCAGATCTGGTGGGGGTTATGTGGAGTCGCCCCACTAGGCTGCAGCTCCCACTGGTTTATGTGAGGGCCGAGTATGAAGTGGGCAAGATTGGGCTGGACTGCAACACCCATCAGTTCACGAGGAAAAAGAACTAACCCAGCCATTGCAATGACCAGCATGTGCATAAGCTGATTTGGGCTGTAGACTGTGCCAGACCCTGTACTGGCAAGCACACACAAGAATCAGGTTTGGGGTCACCTCAGACAAAGTTTCTTTGTAGATCCCTCCAACTGAACTGCTGATCTAAAAACTCCAACAATGAAGAGGCTATGTCAGCCACTAGATTCTGAATAGAATTCATCGTGACTTGAACAGCGAGATTGGCAGCAATTCAAAACTGCTTGAGCAGGACCCTCAGAGCGAGCCCCGCATCAGGGACCTGGGATGGGTGGGAGGCTGGGTGGGGCTTCTCCCTTTGTTTCTCCTCTGACCCCAGATTCAGGGGGAAAATGATGATATTAATATGGAAACGATGATCTTACTCACTTTCCTGTAGCCCTTGACCCTTTGTGCCCTAATCAACTAAGTAAGATCATTAAAAAAAATTTTTTTTAAGAATTTTTTAAAAGGTGCCTGGTCTAGTGAGAGGATTCAAGAAGTATTAGCCATTTGGCTATCGTAAGTTGTGGACAATGTCATGATTGTGGTGAAGCAATGAGCTGCTGCTGCTGATGGAGACTCGTGGTGGAAGGCAGCAGCAACCAGAGCTCAGCCAACAATTGTTTTAACAAAGGGCTAGACAATACATATGTTAGGTTTTTCAAGCCAAAGGCCTCTGTCACAGCTACTCACCTGCGATGTTGTAGTGCCAAAGCAGCTATGGACAACATGTACAACTAATGGATAAGACCCTGTTCCAATAAAACTTTATGTATAAAAACAAGTGGCAGGCCACCACTGGGTCCATAGGTTGTAGTCGGCTGAACTCTGACTCTAAACACCTTCGTCAAATGAACTGGCACAAGATTGAATCAACACATGGATCAATGGGTCAAAAAAGGGGGTGGGGGAACTCATCTTTTTTGTAGGGGTCTTTATGACGGATACCCAGGACTCAAAGCAAGGAGGTAGAAATTGTCTCCATTTGAACTTCTCTTCTGAGAAGCTTGGGATGGAAGGTGGAAGGGGCATGTTGAATTTTGTACCAAGTGCAGATGGCCGCCTGTCAATGGCCATCTGCCAATGGCCACCTGCTGATGCCCGCCTGCCAGTGGCAGTCCAGTGGAGCCAGCTCTCTGCTTTCACAGGCTTCTGGACCAGGAACGTCAGGGGCTCCAAGAGCTGGTGGAAAAGCAGGATTCCAGGCCCCCCACCACTACCACTCTGGGGTCACTGCAGTGTTTGCTCCAGAGAGGGTACCTTTCCTTCAGAGTGCTGCCCCCACAAACCCAGCGCACCCTCCATCTCCGTGTAGCCCAGCAGAGAAGAGGGAATCCCTCCCCTTAGTGTGACTGTCGACTGAGTTATCACCCTGCTTAGCTGGTTACCCTTCTAACAAAACTCCTCTGCTCTCTTTTTGCCCTATCCTTCAGGGTTGTCGATGGGCAGTGGACCTTTCGGTATCTGCCTGGGACGAGAAAGACACCACGAGCCCTACGCTACCCCCACGTGGCTCACCTGCAGGGAATCAGCATCTCTAGGCTAGATCCTTGCATCTCACAGCAGGGTTTCCAAGCTATGTGGCCAGAAGCCCGGCTTCTATGGATTCAGCTAGAAGGCAGGGGTCAGCTTCGGCTCCTTCACGAGATTACTTTCTCCTGTTATGCTTACATGTGGATACGGTTATTTCTGGATTCAATTTCATTCTCTGCCTTTACCCAAATGATGCTGAAAAATACCCAGAAAAACTCTCATTTTCTCCCACATACAAAGACCTGAGCCAGAGAAAGAATGCAATGAAACTGTCACCCACAAAGGAGAAATGCATTACATTTGTCACACTGTAGTTCAGGAAATAAACAATGTAAAATGAGACAGCAAGTTGTTATTATAACTCCTCAGAACTCCTAAACTTTAATACATCAATATTTCATTTTTACCAGGTGTTCTCGGGTGCACCCGTCCCAGCGCACCTGACCGTGTTGCCAGATTAAAGCACGACTCCTCATTCCCTCCCTGAAACAGCACGGTGTCTGTCAGTTGCACTGCCAGGAAATTATTTCTCAGCCCAGCCACACACTGCCTTTTTTCACTTTTAGGATGAATCCATTGACATACATGGACATAAAATCCATATACAAAATTTTAGTGAGACAAGAGGGAGTACTCCCTTCTCTCCTCAGGCCTCGTAGCCGGGGCCCAGAACCCCGAGGAGTCCCTCCCAGGGGCAGAGCCCAGTTTTGGCAAAATCCATACAACATAGAACTTCTCACGGTGACAGTACACTTGGATGACATGCCATGCAAGCATCACCAGCAACCTCCAAAACTTGACCATCTTCCCGAAATGAACTTCCGCACACGTGAGACAAGAACTTGGTCCTTCCTTCCCTGTAACCCTGACAACCCCATTCTGCCTCTGGGAATTTAGCCACTCACCCGGGTGGAATCATACAGCCTGTGACTGTCTTGTTTTACAAGGTCCATTTTTTCCTGAGATTTATCAGTGTTGTACACCTGTCAGAACCCTCTTGCCTCTCAAGCCTCAAATCTCCCCTACGGTATGCCTACACCACATCATATTTGCCCATGCTCGGGTTGTTCCCTGTTTGGCTGCTCTGAGTCGTGCTACTGTGAAGGTAGGTGTGCAATCGTCTGTCTGAGGCCTGGCTTTCAGTTCCTTAGTGTGGACATTTAGAAGTAGAGTTGCTGATCATGTAGGAATTTTGTATTTAATGTTTTGGGGAATATAGTAACCCTTGGACCCCTGAGAAAGCAGGTGCCCAAGTGCCTGCTCTGCCAAGAAGCATGCAGCCCCCCAGCGAGGGAAATGCCTAGTGTGAGCTTGTCCCTGCCCAGCCTCATTGCGAGATAAAGGCCCTGCCCCTGGCACAAGGCCTGCAGGAGGCGGTTGTTGGGGGACATATGGGGGTGCTGATTAGTGCTCTAAGGGCTGCATCAGCCTCCACAGCTCAGGCCCACACAAGCTTCTCCAGTCCATGTCGCAGGTCAGGGGTGCAGGCTCAGCAGCACATAAACCTGTTTCATTATTACCCTTTAGGGAAACTCTTGTGACACCTGCTGTGTCATTCTTCATGCATGGCCCATCCACTGCTAGGTCGAGCAAGCATACATGCACTCTCTCACACACACACATACACGCACACACACACACACACAGTGGTTCACCACACATTTATTCTTTTCCCCCTTGCCTCTCTCTGTATTGGGTTTGAGCTAGGATCCAGCCAAATGCTTGATAAGTGAACTTTTATATACTCTGGGTTCCCAAGCTCCTCAGTTGGTCCTCAGACCATCAGAAGCTTCTCATGATAACATCCAGCTTCAGTGTACCGTCTGTGGCCAGCAGCTTCCTCACCTAACACACCCTCCAAAACTCACATATCTGTCTCTCTTGCTCCTAGCAAGCTACTGTAGTGGGAAGCAGGACAATCCATATATATTTTTTCCAAGTCACAGCAATGAAACTCTTACACAATAACAAACTGGCTTTGCTGTACCAAAAAAAAAAAAAATCAATTTCTAGTCCATTATCTCAAATGATCGCAACTACAGTCCTGTAGAAAGATGCAAGAAAAAAGACAGAGATCTTTTCCCACGTGAATGTTCTAGAAGGTAAAGCAATTTGCCCCAGAGCACACACCAAGGGTTACAGACCCCAAGTACTTTCTTGCTTTGTCACACAGCTCAAAATGTGGCTAATGTCAGGCAGGGGGTGCATGGGGGAACCCCCAACAAGCTATCAACATTCAACCTAAGGTAAACTTACTTGGCAAAGGAGTGGCTCTCCAAAGCTGAGAATGCCAGGAACCTGGAAGGCCCGAGAAGAGGGTCCTTTCTAGAAGACCTGCATATCCCACCTAGATCCCAGTGGCCTGAGACTTGAGAAGTCAGAGCCTCATCCCAGGACAGTAGCCTCTTGTTGAGGGGCGGTGGGGAGGGGGGAAGGTGGGGTCAGGGGAGAATCCTCTTTCTACCACAGCAGGACATGGAGGTGGAAGAGAAGCATCAAGTCTTAGACCTGCAAGGCCTGGCACGGGGACAGTTCTCAGCAGCAGTGGCCCGTTGACTGCCCAGCTGTTGCTCTCCTGGGCAGCATGGAGCTCCAGTCTTCTCAGCTGAAAAGGGGAGCAGCACCATGTTGAGGACTCACAGGTGCCTTTTGGGAACAGATAGGTGTGGGCCCAGAGGTGTTCTGGGAACTTTCCAGAAGTACTCCCCGAAGATGATGGTTAACCAGGCTTGGGAAGCTGCCTGGGATAAAGCAAAGAGCTCATCTTCTGGATGGGATAGCTTCTCTGGCTCATGGTTGCACAGGATGGTCATTTTCTGATTAATGTCTAGACAGCTCCCAAGTGGTCTTGTCAACCCAAACTGTGTCTGAGAATCACCTGGGCTGTGCTTTAAGCCCTGCCAGCCACACCCTCTCCCAGAGTCTGCCATCCCACTGGTGGTTGTAGTTCAGATCAAGACAAGGAAATGTGCTATGCTTTAAACCCTGCCAGCCACACCCTGCCCCAGAGTCTGCCATCCCAGCTGGTGATTATAGCTCAGCTCAGGACAGGGGAAACTTCCCCAGGTAACTAACTCACTGCGTGCAGTCAACAGCCAGCACACCCGCCTAGGGAACTGCCTGCAGGTGGACATTGATCAAAGGCTAGGGGCAGAGGCTGGCTTGAGAGCAGGCAGGATGGCGAGGGGTAGTAGCAGCCTGGGGAATCCCTCACCCAGGTCGCCTTTCCCTGGTCCCTGCTGGGCACTTGCAGCTACAGTGTTCAAGAGAAGAAACCAAAGGGACACACTGCTCCTCCAACACACGAGGGGATGCTTCCAGTGCCTACTCATGCGATGCTGCCATGCTGATTTCACACACACTCTGTTCCACATGCGCGCAATGTTTGCAACGCACTTGCACTTGGTTCTTTCACTGGAATCTCCCAAGACACAACATGGCGTCTCCATTTTTCACAGACGAGGGAGCAAGGCTCAGATCAAGAAAAAGGGCCTGGATTGCTGAGGTGTTCGGAGGCCAGGGCTGGCCTGGGATTCAGCCTTCACCAGCCTCACCAGCCACCTGCTGTCAATGGCTTCTTCTACCATGACTCTGGGCTGTGCCACGTGGTCGTGCTCCTTCATGAGGCCACTGAGAGCTGGGGCCCAGGGGACTAACTCAGCCTGGTCTACCCAGTACTTCTGCATTTTTACCAGCAGAGCCCCGTGTCCTGGGAACCCCCTCTGGTGCAGGGCAAACCCGGCTTCACTCCTGTATGAACTGAAAATGTTCGTCGGGCATATTTAAATACCCAGGGAAACAACAGGTGCTTCCAGGAATTATCCAGGTACTTTTCTGCAGATGTGGGCGTCTTCAAAAAGTCCATGGAAACAGGCTTGATGAAAATGATGCATGGATTTCAAAGCTTTTTTCCAAAACAAACTTCTCTTTAAAAATGTTTTCATTTATATATTTATTTGAAATTCAGATGCATAGAGACAGAGTCACGGCAATGATACCGTAATAATAGGGAAAATCAGTGTTGAGGGTGGGAGGGAGGAAGGGGAAATTCCTGGGCCTATATATCACAAAAGAAAGTTTTAAATACATTCTTAAAAAGTCTTCCACCCACGGGTTCATTCCCCCAAAACAACTACAACAGCTGGAGCTGGGCCAGGTGGAAGCGGGGAGCCTGGGACTCTGGGCTTCCCATGCGAGAAGGCTTAAGTCAGTCTGCACCACAACTCCAGTCCCATAAACTTAGCTTTCAGTTCAATTCTCATTGAATTTTCAAAGGAGCCAAGCATATCATCTCCAAATTATAAGTCCATTTCTAAACAAACTGTTCCTTGGCAATGTGACCTATCTACAAAGAATTAAGAGTGACAGTAATTAAAGACTGTTGTACCAGATACTTCAGGATGACCGTGTACTTTCACATCTCGTCCTAATTGAGTATTTCATTTACAAATGAAGTGTTTCAGAATACAGTTGTGGCTAGCACCACAGAACACATACATGTTCATGGTGCCGTAAGACTCTACTGGCCCAGCGACACTGCATCTACGTTCATCCATTTAGATTCACTCTGAGACTGGCACAAGGATGACATGCCCGATGCCACACTTCTCAGTGCATTATCCCCATTTGAGGAGACATGTGACTTCGTCCGTGTTGGGCTTATTGAGTCATTGAATTTTACCTGTAAGGATGTAAGAGTCTGCTGGGGTGGGAGTGGGGGCAGGTGCTGTGGCATGAGTTAAAGCTCCACCTGTGACCCCAACATTCTATGGGTGCTGGTTCAAGTCCTAGTTGTTCCTCTTTTAATCCATCTCCCTGCCTGTAACCTGGGCCAGGCCCTTGGGCCTTTGTTCCTGGCTCCTGACTTTGGACAGGCCCGGATCTGGCTGTTGGGGCTAGCTGGGGAATGAGCTAGAAGATAGGAGATCTCTCTCTTTCTCTGTATCTCCTTGTCTCTATAACTCCGCCTTTCCAACACAAGTAAATTGATCTTTCAAAAAGTCTGCTAGGGCATGTCTCTTGCCTAAGCCCTTCTATGGGAGGCCAATCGCATGGGTCATGAAGACCATCACTGTGGCAGTGTTTGTTGGGCTATGAGCCCCTTTGGCTACAGTGTCTTCTAACATACAAGAGACAGCAAGGGGGCTGAGGGTTGTGGTGCAGCAAGTTAAGTTGGTGTTTGTAATGCCGGTGTCAAATGGTCCAGGGTTTTCTACTTCCAATCCAGCTCCCTGCTAACACACCTAGGAAAACAATGGAAGATGGCCCTAGGAGTTGAACCTTTGCTGCACTTGTGAAATACTTGGATGAAGATTCTGGCTTCAAACTGAAGCAGTCCCAGACACTGTGGCCATATGGGGAGTGAACCAATAGGTGGAAGATCTCATTCTCTCTTTTTCTCTTTCTGCCTCAACTGTGCCTCTCAAATACATACCTTTGTTTAAAAACGAATGAAAAAAAAAAAAGAATTGCAAGGAATATTGAATTGCAGCTATAAGACATTAAAATGAATTTGTATATGATATCTCATGGGCTTCCTTGCTGATACTCTACATAAAACTGCGTGGCAGATCTAACAACCACCTGATTTGGACATGGGCTTAAGTATAAATAACATTTCAGGAAATTTACAGGGATCATAGCATGGAGTGAAAACACCTGTGGCTCCCATTGCTGCCAAGGTCACAGGTACTCCCGACATGATTATGGTTTGCCAACACTAGTTACTGAAGGAATGGCCCAATTTCTTTTTTTTGTTTGTTTGTTTATTTTGTCTTGTTTTGTTTTATTATAATTTTTTACTATATTTTTTACAATCTTTACATAGTTAATTAGGGTAAAAGGTTCAAGGGTTATAGGAAAGTGGGTAAGACTATTCTTTCCATATTGTTTCCTTCATGTTTAAAAGGGGGGTATTAAGGGAGAAGGCCCACCCAATTTCCCACCCACCCCAGGTCCCTGATGTGGGGCATGCTCCAAGGTTCTTGCTCAAGTGGTTTTGAAAGTTCACCACTTATGAATCGCTGCCAATCTTGCCACACCAGGCACTATGAGGTCTTTGAAGAATCCACTAATTAACATAGTCCATCATAGAGTCTCCGTCTGCTTCTATTTTGCTGCCAACATATGGCTGAGGTGGTTGATTGACCTGTTCTGTCATCTGTCTTGTCTTGGTTAGGGTTCTGAGTCCAGCGTTTTGATTGAGAATTGCCCAATTTCTATTAGAGATTGGGACAAACAGAGATGTAAGCCATTCCTCATGCGAGGCCAGGACATACCTGCTCCCCTGCCAATGTCAGTTACAAAACCCCTAGCTGCAGTGTCATGCCATGCACCTGACCAGCAAAGCCCAGTGGCATTTCAAGTTCTGACTCCGGCCTTCACCAGAAGGTGTCCACTGGCGCTTTGCTTTGGGGACACGTGAGTAACTGTCTGTCATGGGTCAACATCCTCTCCTCTGCTCCCTGTGACTGTGGCTGTGTTGGGAAATAGGGTTTTCATAGACGTAATTGAGTTAAGATGAGGTCATACTCCATGAGACTGGGCTCTAATCCAGCGAGATGGATGTCCTTACAAGAGAGAAGAAATACAGACCCACACACACAGAGAGGACACACATGACAACAGGCAAGAGTGATGTTCTCACACGCGTGGGACCCGAGGGTGGCCGGCAATTACCAAAGTTGGGGAACAGATGTGGAGCAGAAGCCAGCATTGTGGCACGGCAAGTGAAGATGCTGCTTGCAATGCTAGCATCCCATGTGGGCACTGTTTCATATCCCAGCTGCTCCATGTTCAATCTAGCTCCCACCTAATGGCCTGGGAAAAGCAGCAGAAGATGACCCAAGTGCTTGGGTCCCTGTCACCCATGTGGGAGACCTGGAAGAAGCTCCTGGCTTCTGGCTTTGGCATGACTCAGCCCTGGCCACTATGGCTATCTGGACAGTAACTCAGAGGATGGCAAATCTCTTTCTCTGTTTCTCCCTCTCTCTGTCTCTCTGACTTTCAAAAAAAAAAAAATAAACGTATATTTTAAAATGAGAAGAAAGGAAGGAGGAAAGAAGGAAGAAAGGGAAGTGGAAGGAAGGAAAGAAATAGGATGAGAGAGAGAAATTTCAAAAAGAGTATGGTCCTACCAACATCTTCCAGTCCCCAGAGCTATTAAAAAATAATTTTTGTCTCTGGGTGCTTTATTACGGCCGCCCTAGAACACTGGGCTTTGACACAAATGTTTTTTTTTCCAGTTGAAACTTTTAGTGACCCATGGGCACTAACTTTCCTTGGGGGGGCCTACATTGCACCCCAAACTATCAGAGGTCCTGAGGAAGACTCACAAGTGTTTCTTTTATTAAGATTTATTTATTCATGTGAAAATCAGAGTTACAGAGAGAGAAAGAGAGAGAGAACTTCTACACACTGAATCACTCCCCAGATAGTCACAAAGGCCAGTGTCGGGCCAGGCCAACACCGGGAGCCTGCAGCTTCTTCTAGTTCTGCCATATGGCTACAGTGGCCTCCTGATGCTTT